GGGAACCTCCAAGTCAGAGCCCGTAGCTGGTGGTCAAGATGAGGGAGAGGCCCTCAGGGTCAACCGAATGCCAGAGAGGCAGGACAGGCCCAAAGGTGAGCAACCTGTACACATCAGGTGGGCTCAGAGCTGGTGCATGAGCCCCACAGCCTGCAGAGCAGGCCTGGACTCAGGATCCCGCTCACACCAGCCCGGTGGGACTGTAGAGATACGGGGTCCAGCCTCTCCTACTGTTGCAGGGCTGGGGCTAGTAGCTGCACATTCTGACCCCACAACTGCCTTAGACATGCCAGACACACCTATGAAATGAGCAGTCAGTCCAAATAGATGCACTAAAGAAGGGCTGTGGGACGGACCCAGCTGTAGCCTGGGCTACAGACAGGCTTCCAGGGTACTCAAGCAGCTGGCCTCTGGGGTAGCAGCCCTGGGTGTGAGAGGCAGGACTCAGAATCTAGGCCAAGCCTCCACAGGAATCCCCTCTGGAGAGCCCGGGCACTCTGCAGGAGGGGCAGCAGGCAGCAGGCGTACCCCCCAGCACGTTTCACAAGGTGCCCCATATTGCATCTGTTCAGACAGGCAGCGAGTTGGAAAGTGGATGCAGTAGCAGGCTGGTGGCTGCTCCCCACAGCCAGGAGTCCAGCCCAGCACCACCTGAGTCCACCTCTGTCCTGCTCAATTGGGTAATCCATGTTCTGGTCCCTCTGGTCCCACCCACAGAGGGAGGGCTTTGGGGCGACCAGGTGAGCTGGCCCTTGTGGGAGGATGTAACCGACTCCTGAGCCTGGTGAGCCAGGCAGCCTGGCACCGGCATCCCCACCCCCACCTCTCCAGCCCCCTCATTCCCTGATCCTCCCATCCGCCCCCTGCCCCAGCAGTTTCCTCTGCTCACGCTCATCTCTTTTCCTGCTCCCAGGCTCGCCTGGTCAGTGTCCTCCACTCTCCTCTGAGTCTCCCTCTTTCCAAGCCACCTCCACTCTACTTGACACATTCTCCGTTAAGACACCAGAGTACACAAGCTCAAGTCCCTGCACCTCACCTTTACTCCCAGCCATGGGAGGGAGATGACATGAAGAGCCAAACGCCACTTGGCAAGAGATCTGGGGTATGCAGAGGGGCAGATCTGAGGCTGTGGAAGCTCCAGGGACTCCCTGCAGGAGGCTGCATTTCAGCTGGCTATTGGATGTGGCTCAGAGCTGACACCTCTCCTTGAAGCTCCAGACCAGGAGCCAGCTGCCAGCTGGACCCTCCATTTGGTGTCTCGGAGAAACCTTGCACTCTGTGGGTCTAACTCTGAACCCAGAAAAGCTCCGCATCTCAGTCCTGTCTCTTCTTAGGGAAAGCCTATGACCCAGTTGTGCACCACACCCACATTTGAGTCAGGGGCTCCTGCCCTGCACTGTGAGCGCTCTGGATAAGCCAGTGCCGAGGGGGAAAGAGCTCTGAATGCCAAACCGTGAGTTTCAACTCCACCTCCAGCTCTGAGAGCTGTGGGCAGGGAAGGGCCCTAGTCCAGTGTGCTGTAGAAAGACCAGTCTGCCACTGTATGGCACATGGATGGCGGGGACAGAGTGCGGGTGGAGAGAACAGAAGGTGGACAGGGCAGGGGAGGCAGGTACCTGGCTGTAGCCGTGGAGATGGGAGGACAGACAGGACTTGGTGGCCACTTGAATGAACCAAGGGAGGAGTCTGGAAGAGACACCCAGTTTCGTATCAGATGTGTGGAGCGTGGGATGCTGTTCATTGATCGAGGGAGGAGGAGGAGGAAGAGGTGTGGCATGAGAGGAGGTAACTGAGCTCTGTCATGAATGTCATTTGAGGTTCCCAGGGAGTGCCAGTCCCGCCAGCGCCTTCACTGCTTGAGCCGGCCCTCGAGGTGCCTGTGCTCCCTGGCCCTCTCGGCTCCCACTTTGTAGCTGTCAGCTGCAGTGGGGGACAGCTGCTCAAGGGTCCAGCATGTCTGTGTGTTTACCCAGGGGACTGCCGAATGGCCCATGCCGAGCAGAAGCTGATGGATGACCCTCTGAACAAAACCCATTACAACAACCTGATCCGCCCGGCCACCAGCTCCTCACAGTTCATCTCCATCGAAACGGAGCTCTCCCTGACCCAGTGCATCAGTTGGTAGGTGCAGAGGACACGTGTGGCTCAGGCTCAGGTGAAGAGGCAGCTCATGCCCAAGCCCCAGGCAATCAGTGTCCAGAGGAATGAAATGACTAGAGTTGACTTAGACTCACCAATACATGGCGGGGAGGCTGGAGGAGGGTCTATGAGGTTTGTAGGTGTCCAATATTTAATGCGGTCATGGTTTTGTTAAAGAAGAAACAAGGGTGGGAGCGGGGTCACCACTGGCTAGGCAGCCAATGGGCCTGCATAGACTCTGGTCCACTTGAGTCTCCAGCACGACCATAAGCTTCTCCTTGTCATCCTCCCAGCCCCACCCTACTCTCTCCCCCAGCTTGCTCAGCAGGTGACCTTACCGGCTCCCTACTTGTTGGGGGAAATAAGAACCAGACTGGGGGAACTGATGGGTACAGAGGCCCAGGTATAGGGGCAGGACCCCAGGCAGTGCAGCCCCAACTGAGCCAGGTGGGTGAGGGTCTGGAGAGTGGGCATGGCTGCTGCAGGCATGGAAAGGAGGCGCAGATAGCGGCACTCCCAGAGACCACCGTCAGGGTCTCCATATGTGGATGTGTGCAGAGGTGGGTGCTGAGGGAGGAGGTGCAGGGAATTTCTCATCTTCTCTCCACTGCCTCTGAGTTGGAGATGTCAGAGGGAGCCATGGCCCACTGTAAACTAACACAGTGTCCCCACCCACAGGGTTAGAACCCCTCCCCTGGAAGCGGCTCTGAGGGGAGCAGTCACATGTGGAGAGTGCAGGGCGCTGTCTCCAGCCAGGGGAAGGAGGACACCAAGGGGGTTGCCCCTCTTCTGGCCAGGTGGCTGCCTTCTGACACACCAGCCTCTCTCTAGCACGGTGGCCCCCACACACCCAGCCTATCAAACCTACAGCCCTCAAGAAGGCTTTGTCCAAATTAATAAACAGCTCCGTCTCCCAGGAGGAAGCACAGCTGAAGCATGCGGAGGGCAGTAGAGTTTATGCTCCGCCCCCGCCCCTCCACAGTCAGACCAGAAAGAAGGGGGCTTTCAGCCAGGCTCACCCAGGCTGGGGTCTGAGTGTCACTGTCCAGCTATTGGCCTCTTGCTTAACAGGTGAGCCCAGCTGCTCCTGTGCAGCTGCCACCCCAGTGAGGGTGAACCAGCCAGCGAGTGACATTTCTGATAGTTGGGTTTACAGGAAAGATTAGGCTGTGGGCTGCTGGGCCAGGAAGGGGTGTTTATTTTCAGGGTTTACCTACTGACTTGACCAGGGAGCGTTATAGGTACAACCAGTTTAAAGATGGAAATTTTGAGAGAGCAGACAGGGACTTAGTGCTGGGTAAGGCAAGCAGGCTTCTCAAAGCAGCTCTTTTGGGGAAGCCAGAATCCTGTACCAATGTCGTCAGCACGTTCATCAGCTGCTGGGGGAGTGCCGGACAGGGTTAAAGCACAGGAGAACTTTCTGGATGACAGGAATGTTCTATATCTTCAAAGGAGGTGGGATACATGGGTAATGCATTTATTAAAATTGATGAAAATATACACCAGATCTGTGCATTTCACTGAAGATAAATTATACCTCAATTTTAAAACATTTTTTAAAAGAGAGATGGGCCAGACGCAGTGGCTCACGCCTGTAATCCCAGCACTTTGGGAGGCCGAGGCGGGTAGATCACCTGAGTCAGGAGCTCGAGACCAGCCTGGAAAACATGGTTGAATCCTGTCTCTATTAAAAATACAAAAATTAGCCAGGCATGGGGACACAGGCCTGTAGTCCCAGCTACTCGGGAGGCTGAGGCAGGAGAATTGCTTGAACCCAGTAGGCGGAGGTTACAGTGAGCAGAGATCACGCCACTGTACTGGAGCCTGGGCAACAGAGCGAGACTCCATCTCAAAAGAAAAAAAAAAAGAAAAGACAGATGAAGGTTCTCAACTTTCACTAAAGGCAGAGTAGCTTGTTATAGATTAGCCTCCCCCCAAAAGCAGTTAGAGAAACTGCACAAAAATGTGCCCCCACCACCAAAAACAACTGTTTGAAGGTAATTGGAGACCTCAGTCAGGACTTGAGTGACCAGGCCTAGGAGGTGACCCTGACAGTCTGTAGTGCTTTTCCCACATTATGTGATTGGTGAACAGTAGAGGGCTAAGAGGTTAAGAAACTGAGTCTGAAGTGGTGGTTAAGAGGCTGGAGAGCCTAGCTGAATGTTTGGCACTCACAGGGCTGAAATGACCTCATGAGAATTTGGGTCCCAGTAAGGAGATGGGACCTTGGTGGGAACCCTGGAAGGGTCACCCCTAGGAGTCCAAATGAATAAAAAATAGACCAGTCGTCACAAAAACTAAAACCTGCTTTGAACCAGCTTAGTCCCAAACTATACGAAGGTGATCTGCGCTTATTCCAATTGTGTGCCATAAAGTCAAAGTCAGTACTCTCTGGAGGCAGATAAAAGTTTACTAACAACGCCATAAGACAAGACAAGACTAAATGAGAAAGAACAAGAAAAAAAAACAATACAAACATACAAGAAAAAACCAATAGAAACATACATGTAAGGAAGATAAGGAAGAAAGATTTTTTTTGTTTGTTTGTTTGTTTGTTTTGTTTTTTTGTTTTTTTTTGGAGACGGAGTCTCGCTCTGTCACCCAGGTTTGAGTGCAGTGGCATGATCTCAACTCACTGCAACCTCTGCCTCCCAGGTTCGAGCGATTCTCCTGCCTCAGCCTCCCAAGTAGCTGGGATTACAGGCATGCGCCACCATGCCCGGCTAATTTTTGTATTGGCCAGGCTGGTCTGGAACTCCTGACCTCAGGTGGTCCATTCACCTCAGTCTCCCAAATTGCTGGGATTACAGGCATGAACCACTGTGCCTGACCAATATTTTGCCACAATTTAAAATAAATAATTTTTTTTTTTTTTTTTTTTTTTTCAGGTTTGGGCTCAGACTATATTCTAAACAGTCACATGGCAGCTGACTCTTCTCCAGGCCTTGCTGCCGGGTTTTACATGTTTATTGTTTTTGCCTTCTTGTCATGTGCTCGGTAGATGGCAGCTTCCAGGTGCTCCTAAGGGGCCAGAAAAGAGAGTGAGAAGGCACGGAGGCTGCCAGGTCATCCCCCTCAGGGCCTCACCCTCATCAACTCCCTCAACTGGGTCTCCTGCAACTATTGGGGGGCCACCTCGGCCACCGCTTTGCCCTGAGCTTCCTGCTGCTGCAGCTGGGCAGAGCCTCCTTCTCAGAGGCCAGCTGCTGATAGGCGGCCACGTACTGCTGCAGGGGACCCAGGGAATGGTCTCGCTGCTGCTGCAGACTCTGAGCCTCTTGGCTCTTCAGCTCCACCTGCAGGATGGGCGTCAGGGTAGGCAGTGGCTGGCTTCCAGATTCTGGGCCCATAAACAGGGTGGCGAGGGCACAGTGGGGCTCTGTTATCTGTCCAGGCCCCTGGCCCCTGGCCCCTTCCTCCAGGCCTAAGTGACTGCCTCCCCAGCCTCAAATCTCACACCCTTCTTCCCACCATTGAAGCTGTACGCCACAGACTGGTGGAAAAGCAGAGGGAGCCAACCACCATCTGCTAAGTTGTGGTGAGGTCGTTCTGTATGATCTCCAGGGTTTGCAACCACCTCCGCCTGCTCCCCCAAAGCTCGGCCTTCCACCCCAGCTCCCCCAGCCTCTCCTCCAGCTCCTGCAGCCTCACCTCCTGCTTCTGCATCTTCTCCTCCTGCTGCCACAGCCTCGTTTCCTGCTCCCGCATCTTCTCCTCCTGCCTCTGCATCTTCTCCTCCTTCTCCTGCATCTTCTCCTCCTGCCTCCGCATCTTCTCCTCCTGCTCACGTATCTTTTGCTCCTTCTCCCATATCATCTCCTCCTGCTCCCACATCTTCTTCTCCTGCTCCCGCATCATCTCCTCTTGCCTCCACATCTTCTCCTCCTGCTCCCCTAGCTTCTTCTCTTGCCTCCACATCTTCTTCTCCTGCTCCCACAGCTTTTCTTCCTGCTCCCGCAGCATATCCTCCTTCTCCCCCAGCTTCTCCTCCTGCTCACACATCTTCTCCTCCTGCTCCCACAGCATATCCTCCTTCTTCCCCAGCTTCTCCTCCTGCTCACACATCTTCTCCTCCTGCTCCCGCATCACCTCATCCTGCTCCCGTATTATCTCCTTCTGCTCCCGTATCTTCTCCTCCTGCCTCCATATCTTCTCCTCCTGCTCCCGCCGCTTCTCCTCCTGCTCCCGTATCTTCTCCTCCTGCCTCCGTATCTTCTCCTCCTGCTCCCGTAGCTTCTCCTCTTGCCTCCGCATCTTCTCCTCCTGCTCCTGCCTCCTCTTCTCCTGCTCCCATATATTCTCCTCCTGTTTGTGTATCTTATCCTCCTGCTCCCGTATCTTCTGCTCCTGATTGTGCATATTCTCCTTCTGCTCCTGTATCTTCTCCTCCTGCCTCCACATCTCCTGCTCCCGTATCTTCTCCTCCTGCTCCCGTATCTTCTGTTCCTGCTCCTGTATCTTCTCCTCCTGCTCACGCATCTTCTCCTCCTGCCTCCAAATCTTCTCCGCCTGCTCCCACATCTTCTCTTCCTGCTCCCGCCTCTTCTCCTCCTTCTCCTGTGTCTTCTCCTCCTGCTCATGCATCTTCTCCTCCTGCCTCCAAATCTTCTCCTCCTGCTCCTGCCTCTTCTTCTCCTGCTCTTCTATCTTCTTCTTCTGCTCCTGTATCTTCTCTTCCTGCTCGTGCATCTTCTCCTCCTGCTCCCGTATCTTCTCTTCCTGCCTCCACATCTTCTCTTCCTGCTCCTGCCTCTTCTTCTCCTGCTCCCATATCCTCTCCTCCTGCTTGTGCATCTTCTCCTCCTGCTCCTGTATCTTCTCCTCCTGATTGTGCATCTTCTCCTCCTGCTCCCATATCTTCTCCTCCTGCTCCTGTATCTTCTTCTCCTGCCTCCACATCTTCTCCTCCTGCTCCCGTATCTTCTTCTCCTGCCTCCACATCTTCTCCTCCTGCTCCCGTATCTTCTTCTCCTGCCTCCACATCTTCTCCTCCTGCTCTTGCCTCCTCTTCTTCTGCTCTGGTATCTTCTCCTCCTGCTTGTGCATCTTCTTCTCCTGCTCCCTTATCTTCTCCTCCTGATCATGCATCTTCTCCTCCTGCTCCCGTATCTTCTCCTCTTGCCTCCAAATCTTCTCTTCCTGCTCCTGCCTCCTCTTCTCCTGCTCCCGTATCTTCTCCTCCTGCTCATGCATCTTCTCCTCCTGCTCATGCATCTTCTCCTGCCTCCACATCTTCTTCTCCTGCTCCTGACTCTTCTTCTCCTGCTCCCGTATCTTCTCCTCCTGCTCATGTATCTTCTCCTCCTGCTCATGTATCTTCTCCTCCTGCTCCCATATCTTCTCCTCCTGCCTCCACATCTTCTCCTCCTGCTCCCGCCTCTTCTCTTCCTGCTCCCGTATCTTCTCCTCCTGCTCCTTTATCTTCTCCTCCTGCTTCCACATCTCCTTCTCCTGCTCCTGCCTCTTCTCCTCCTGCTCCCGTATCTTCTCCTCCTGCTCTTGCCTCTTCTCCTCCTGCTCCCGTATCTTCTCTTCCTGCTCCTGTATCTTCTCTTCCTGCCTCCACATCTTCTCTTCCTGTTGCTGGTACAGGCGGTTCCACAACTTGTTCTCTTCCACCTGGGCTTGGAGCTTCGCGGACACACTCTGCAGCTCCTTACCCAGGTGGTCAGCGTCCTCCTGCAGCTGCTGCTGGAACAGTGAAAGTGTTGGTTTGAACCTCAGAAGGAAACAGACTCATGGGATAGTCATATAAATGTAATCTATAAAACAATGGTTTTCACGCATGATCCTTTAAAATATATATTTTTAAGCCCTAACTCTGAGATTCTGATTCCCCAGGCAGGGCCCCACTTTGTACATTTTTAGCACACTCTAGAGGATTCTATGGCGGGACCAGAACAAGGGCCCAAATTTTCTAGCTCTTGACTGGAGCCTCCCCATATCCTGCATGATCCCTAGACCATGGTCCCAGCCGGACAGGGATCCCACAACCCCCGGGGCTGTAGCTGCTTGCCTGTGGCAGCAGGAGCTTGGCCCTCTCCAGCTTCCTTTCTAGCTCCTTTACATTGAGCTGGATCTCAGACTTCTCAGATTCTACAAGTCGAAGTTTTTCTTGTAGTTCAGCATATTTCTCCTTCAGCTCATCATCGGTTATGCTACGACCAGAGGCAGTAGATAAAGGAATGAACGAAGAACAGAAAGGACTGCTTTGGTGATCAACCCTCTACTTTCACCCCACAACCACAGAACCGTGGCATTGGATGGGACCCCAGGAATTTAAAGCCCCAGGTGGCAGGCCAGAGAGAAGACATGAGTTGCCTGAGGCTACCCCATGAGTGGGTGGCACAGCCGGCACTAGAGCTTCCCTGTGCACACATGAAAACCTGTATGAGCCTCTCACCATGCTCACCTGTACCCCCACCTCCCAGCACACCCCCCACGCTACGAACCCCCAGACCTCCCATCCCACGATCCCCCATCCTACGTGTTCCTGTACAGTTCCAGACTCAGGGCATCCCTCTCCTTTGTTAACTCCTCGATGTACTGCAAATAGAGAAAGGTGAAGTCAGGATAGAGCAGGCAGAGGAGCGGCTGGCCGACCAGGAACAACAGCCACCGTGACCACTCCACACACCACTCCCCACACCCAGTCACACCTGACATGCTCTCAAGGCACTTCCAAGCCCAGGGTCTCCTTTGGTTTTCTTTTTTGTTTTGTTTTCTTTCTTTCCTTCTAACTTTTTCTTTTTCTTCAGGAAGATTTTCACTCTTGTTGCCCTGACTGGAGTGCAATGGCGCAATCTCAGCTCACCACAACCTCCGCCTCCCGGGTTCAAGCAATTCTCCTGCCTCAGCCTCCCGATTAGCTGGGATTATAGGCATGTGCCACCACACCCGGCTAACTTTGTATTTTTAGTAGAGATGGGGTTTCTCCATGTCCGTCAGTCTAGTCTTGAACTCCCAACCTCAGGTGATCCGCCAGCCTCGGCCTCCCAAAGTGCTGGCATTACAGGCATGAGCCAGAGCACCTGGCCCTCATTTGTCTTTCAAAGAACTCAGTAAAGGTGGAAGGGACAGGGAAAGAGACTGAATTCATAGCTGGCTAGCAGGGGCCCAGAGACATCAGATGGTATTGCTATTGTTCTTACTGTTACTACTACCACTGTTGGAACCTTTACTGACTGCTTCACCAGGCACTGCACTAACAATCCCATTTCATCCTCACAACCTCCATAGGACACGGTTACCATTATTACCTCTATCGTATAGATGAAAAACATGGGGTATTAAGGGTTAAGTGCTTGCCTAAGATCACGTAGAGCTGGGATTTCAACACCCAGGTATATCTGATTCTCTAAGCCCATTCTTTCACTGGGGGTAGGGGCAAAGATAAGAAGGAGGAAATTAATCATTTGTTGACATTTTGAACGGATGATACATTCGAATCGTCCAAAACTCAGAAAGTACAGAAGGGAAATATCTCCCCCAACACTGTTCCTCTCTCCTGAGATGTTTATGATCCTTACAAACATGTTTATTGTATATTCCCATAATACACACACACACACACACACACACACACACACACACAGAGAGGCTCCCTCTCTCAACACAAATAATAACATACTCAAGCTACTCTTCTGTACCTTTATGGTACCAGTACCCTAACCGCCACTTGGGACTTGGCCAAGGCCACAGTCAATTATGGGCAGGGCGGGCACTTGGCCTGTGAGCTCTATGTCCAGTGCTCACTGCCCACGGCGCCCCCCAACTCACCCACAGCAGCCGACTCAGCCCCTGTCAGCCTGTAACCACCACACACAAAAGCAGCAAGAAATGGCCATGCTGTTTTCTGGGCAGGACACTCCATCCTGCAGAAGGGACTTTTAGGCTCACTCCTCCATCTGTGAAGCCGGGCTCCCAGGGGATGGGGCAGGGGGTTGGACTCACCCTGTCAGCCTTCTTCTTCTGTGTAGCAACAGCAGAGAGATCCCACTCTAAATCTCTTGCAAACTTCCATGAATCATGCAGGCGGCTCACCAGATGCCTGCACTCTCCTGGAATGAGAGACATTCAGATGCGGCCCAAAGGACTCCCCATAAAGGCCTGTCAAAGTGCCAGGTTGAAGGATGACCGGGTGCCAGATTCCCACCTTCCAACTGCTGGACAGCACGCTGGCTGTAATAGAGTGCCGTCTGAAGCTCAGTTTTCTCACATGTAAGGATTCGTATGGTATGAACCTGGGCCTTTGGGAGAAAAGACAAGCAAGTGCTGAAAGAGAAGCAAAGAAACCTTCTCCAGAGGACAGGAGGGAACTTCACACCCTCCACTCACCTCTAGCTCCCTCCTTAGGGCTTCCTGATGTTGGTGGCTTGCCTTCTTTTCCTATAGAAAGAGGAAGACAGAGCTCTTACTAGGGGGAGGCAGAGATGGCACAGCAAGAGACATGCCCCCAGAACGGCACCACTGCCCCAGGACAGGCCCACCCATGGGACCAGGTTATCAGGGACCCTGTGGGGACAGGGTGGAATCTGGGGGGTGAGCCTTCTTCCCCAGGCTGGGAGTGGGTGAGACGAGACTGGGGCCTCTATGGCTGAGTGTCCTCCAAACCCAGCAGTCATGTGAGCAAACAAAGAAATCACGTTACTTCTTCTAGCTGGGCTCGGTTCTGTTGTTTCTGTGGGGAGAGTCAAAGGAAGGTGACTGAGGGTGGCCCCTTCAACTCTATTCCCCAGGCCAGGAAGCAGTAGGCAGGGGCCAGGAATGGATTTTAAAGGTAGTTCTCAGACCCAATGGGAACACGAATTGGTAAACTCTCCTCAACTCCCAAAGTAAAAGGACTTGAGTCTTTGTTGGTTTGTGCCCACAGCCACAGAACTCAAAGTCTGAAACTAGATTCTCTCAAAAAGACAGTCAGAGAAACCTTCAGAGATGGAGTGTGAGAAGAGCCCACGCTTCTGCCAGCTTGTGATTTAGAAAGGTGCATTCATTCAACAAACATTGACTGAGCACATACGGGCCAGGGACAGTTCTTCACAGCGCGGATATAGGACAGGAAAGGCAGATAGGAACTCTCGGTCCCGAGGTTTCCATTCCAGTGGGCCTTTAACTCTTGGACTCTCAGAGCTAACAGACACCTCCGATACTCTCTGACTCTACCCCAGGAAACGCAAGCCCGAGAAAGAGAGTTTATAGCAGGCTGTGGACTAGGGATTAACATAAAAACAACAATGATAAATCTCATTTAAACTTCACCAATGTAGGTAAAACCACACCACTCCTATTTTACAGATGTGAGAAGAGAGGCCCAAAGAGCGCAAGGAATTTGCCCTCTATCATATCCCCAGCAGATGGAGAAGATTCAAACCCAGAATTCTTAAGCAGTGCCTGGGAGTTCTTCCACAATCTTAACAATTACCCTCCACCACCCCTTGGGCCCTCTGTCCCCAGGAGCCTGGCCAGCCAAGACTCACAGCCTCAGGTGAGTGGCAACCACCAGAAGTGGTTGTCTCAGGGTTAGCACCATTATTTATGTTCTTCTTTTTGGTGTCGCTTGCTTCTGTACCAACACTAGGGTTGGCCTGGGGATGGTAGTCTCTCAACTGTGGAAAGGAAGAGCAGTGATATTCATGAGAACTACAAGCTCCTACAGTCACATCCTGCTTTACAGTTTCTACAAAATACTCTTCTGCACCATCTGATTTAGTGCCACCAACAACTGTAGGAAGTGTTGTCACAGTCAGTGACTGAGAGGGATTGATACCATGGCTGAACAGAAGCCACTAATGGAACTGAAACTCAGTCTTCTGACTCTGAGCTCTGGGATTTTGCCACAAGTCAGCAGCTGCCAGGGACCAAAACCAGAGGCAAAGGCAGAAAAGCAAATATCAGGTAGGCAGGAACTGTACACCGTGTGGTTTAGAGTCATACACCCTCACATGTCTGTTAGTGTGAAGAAGTGCACCACTACCTCTCAAACGTTTATATTAATGTATGCTCATGGCAGAAGGCAGCCTTTCTGTGAAACCTGGGAACTTAACACAAAGAGGACAACCCAACCCTCATTTCAGAGAGAAGTCTTGTATATTCTTATAAATGTATGTGACAGTCACCCCAAGTACATTAATGTTTTGTTTCTCAGTAGACTCAAAGGAAACTGATGCTTCAGAAAGATGCCCCATATTTATCCTGTGGCACTCAAAGTACCCCAGGTGGAGATGAGATGAGGAAGATTCAAGCTGTCAAGTTCAGTTTCCCAAGATCTGTTCCACAGAAGATAGGCAGATCTCACTGCAGAAACCACTGACTGAGGGGCACTCTGGTCCCAGAACAATGCAGAATTCAAGTCTGAGGTGGAGAACTCAGAAACAATGTTCGAGTCTCTCTGGAGAGTAGAAGCCTGGGAGAAAATCAAACTAAACCCATTCTCCCGTTGCCACCCAGAACACTGTCAATGTGTTGAGCTCATGGGGGAGGTGTAGGCTTTTCACACTGTCAGCGTCTGTGTTAAGGAAGTAAGGCAGCCTGAAACCTCTCTCTCCTACGTCCCACAGTCCCCAATCTCCTTCCAGCTGGAAACCTGTGCTACAACCAGAGGAACCAGAAATGGGCAAGAACACTTAGGGGACTGGGTCCTAAGACCAAAGACCGGTCTCGTGGCAGTAATGACAGTTCCTAGAGGGACTGCGACATCACTACATTCCACTCCTCAGTGGAGTGGTGGGGGGGACACATGAGTGCAATGACCAAGCTCCCAGAGATTGGGGAGGGGGTCACAGGGTTGGGACCCAGGTCCTTGGAGATGCAAGCCCAGAGAGCCCAGGGAGGTCAGGCTTTGGGTGGCGGGAGGTGAGGGCCGAGTATGGAGCGGGGAGCCCCAGGAGTCACCTGTCCAAAGTGACCAGGGGACAACCAGTGAGGGCAGGTTCTAGGGCACCCAGGTCCTTGGAGACGTGAGCCCAAAGAGCCCAAGAAGGTCGGGTTTGGGGTAGCAGGAGGTAAGGGCAGAGTATGGAGTGGGAAGCCCTGGGAGTCACCAGCTCAAAGTCACCCTGGGGTGGCTGGTGAGGACAGGGGCAGGACTCACGAGGGGGTTGGGCTGGCTCACAAGATTTTGGTGTGGGGAGCCCAGGGGCACTGGGGGGTTCCCAGCCTGGTGTGCCTCAGCAGTGGCACAGACTCTGGCAGCAGCTTGACTGTCAGAGGGCGCCTGGGGCTGGGTTGGGGTGCCACAACCTGGTGCGTTTTACCTTTTCCTTGGCCTTGGCCAATTTGATCGGTCGGGTTTCTTTGGACATCATGGGATGGGTAGGGCGGTGGGGTTGGGGCCACATCAGCACAATCCAGGCGAGGACAACTATACACCTCCAGTCACCTACCAGGTAGCTGTGTGACTGAGCCAGAGGAGGCGTAACCAGGGCCACACTAGAATGCAGAATGGGGCGTGGCCTTAATGCTTCAAGCCTATTGGTTAATGAGAAAGATGCAAGGGAAAGGAGGTGTGGCCAGACAGCAGCCTGTCCTGAAGAACCTGTGATGTCACAAGGAAAGCCGCCATGTTACCGCTGTCCCCGCCCACTCCAGGAGAGGGGCGGGGCTGGCTTTCACTTTAAAGACTTTAAAACTGGATTACCTCAATTGAGGTACAAATCCTATGAAAATGGAAATTTTATAGTGTGCTTGATGATTGATAAAGCAGACTATATTATCCAACATTCCACTAAGATAAATAATCACAATGATTTCTCTTTTTTGGAAAACCTTTCTCTTATTCTCCTACATTATTGTTAAGGGTTTTTTGTTTTTCTAAAAATACAAAACAAAAAAACAAAAAAGAAAACAAGAAACATGTCTAATATCATTAAAAACATAAAGCTTGTGAGCCAGGTGTGGTGGCTCACGCCTGTAATCCCAGCACTTTGGGATGCTGGGGTGGGTGGGTCACCTGAGTTCAGGAGTTCAAAATCAGCTTGGCTAACATGATGAAACCCTGTCTCTATTAAAAATACAAAACTAGCTGGGCATGGTGGCAGGTGTCTGTAATCCCAGCTACTTGGGAGGCTGAGGCAGGAGAATCCCTTGAACCTGGGAGGCAGAGGTTGCAGTGAGCCAAAATCATGCCACTGCACTTCAGCCTGGGCTACGGAACAAGACTCTGTCTCTAAAAACATACACACAGACACAGACACACACACACACACACACACACACACACACACACACGGAAAGCTTTCCATTTAATAAGCACTCAAAGTTCTTTACAAGTTTAAAACAAATACAGGACCCTCTAAAGTAAGGCTAAATGCTAAGTGATGGGGGAGAGAAAAAGGACATAAATAACTCCTACTCTCATGAGGTTAATCACTAAATCCTATTTTTCTAGAATCACCTGGCCTCTCTAAGCCCTGAAAATGAAACTGAATTTCTCACTTGATACTTGGCTATGACTTGCAATCATGAAAACCAAGAGTTGTGTTCTGTCACTGTGTAGTGCTTGCTACCTGGGATCAAGGGTTGACTTTTTCATGATTTGCTCCATTACCTGTGTGCTTCTTATCCCAGACCAAAGTAAGCTTTTTTCTAGAGTTCTACAATTTACAGTTAGTAGATAAGAGTGCTTCTCAAAAATACAGTCTCTGAACCAGGAGCACTTGGGAATGTCTTATAGATGTAAATTCTCAGGCCCCTCCCTAGACTTGATGAATCAGAAACTCTGGAGTAGGGCCCAGCAATCCACGCTGCAATAAGCCCTCCAGGTGTTCAGGAACCGCTGGCATACAGCAGGTAGAAAAATGTGTTTCCTTCTGTAGGTCCAAAGCCAGGGATACTATATGTTCTGTCTCGATACGAAGCAATGACATGCAATTAAAAGACATAAATCTTTTTCCTACTTCCACCCTCCAGCCAATGTGTTTTATTTTTACAAGTTCAAATAGAAAGCGAATGGCAATCAGAGATTTCATCTAAAAAGTATGTTTACAAGTATCAGTTCTCATCCAGCCTGATCTCATCTAGTACCATTTATATCCTCTTACATGTAATATTGTAGAAAAGGATCTTCACAATGTAAGACTCAGGCACACTAGAAGTTCTATGATAAAAGACCAACTAGATCTGAATGTCCAAACTTACTAGAGAAGAAAAGTGGAATCACTCGATCTCCTGTCCACGTGATCTGCCCGCCTTGGCCTCCCAAAGTGCTGGGATTACAGGCATGAGCCATGGCGCCTGGCCTTATTTTGTTTCGAGGAGTGCCTTTTGGTAAGGGTGCCCAGGAGGAGGATGACTGTGGAGATGGGCAGGTGCCCTCCCTGCTGTGCAACTGGCTGACGTCCTGGCCCAGGGCTCTGCCCAGGACTGCCGTGTGCACCTTTTGCAGTTCCCTTGGCGGTGGGTGAACCCAGTTCTCTCCACCAGCTGAGGCCCAGGCTGCAGTGGTGCTGGCCAGAGAGAACGGAGTTAGCGGCCCGGGACCTGCGGCAATCCACAGCAGGAGTCAGAGCCTGACTTTCCCATCTGGGGAGTGAGACGGTGGATCTCGTGGTTTTCAAGGATTCATCCAGCTCTGTTTTCCTGGGCCAAGGGTTTGTCCCAAGACCTGTGGCTGATGCCCTGGGCTCCAGCCTCTCTAACCAACGGAGCAGGGCCAAGCTGAAGTCGGCCTCCGCATTCCTGGCTTTTCATCCCCATCCTGAGCTGCCTGTCTCTGGCTTCCCCATCAGTGCTGGTGCCCCTTGAGGAGAAGCCTCCCAGAGGAAGAGTTGGCCAAAAGGGGTGTTTATGTGTGACTTGGAAGGCAGAAGGAAAGAGACAGCAGTTGCTGTCTGGAGGCGGCCGTGGCTGTCCAGCGTCACTGGCCAGGTCGAGGTCCATTCTGCCTGTACACAGCAAGTCCATCACTGCGACACGGGTTTTGCAAAAGAAGAAAGATAGATTCACAAGACCGCCAAGTGAGGAGGTGGGAGAACAGCGCTCAAATCCTTATCTCCCTGGAGATAAGGCTGAGGGCTGTTTCTAGGTTAGGGAAGTGTGATGGTCTAAGATGTGGGGGGAGGTGATTGGCAGTGGGGAAAAATGAAGTAACAGGTTCATTTTTTGCAAGTGTTATCAGGCAGCTGGCCGAACTCGGTGGCTCATGCCTGTAATCCCAACAGTTTGGGAGGCAAAGGCGGGTAGATCACCTGAGGTCAGGAGTGTGAGACCAGCCTGGCCAACATGGTGAAACCCCGTCTCTATTAAAAATACAAAAATTAGTCTGGACACGATGGCTCATGCCTGTAATCCCAGCACTTTGGGAGGCCAATGCAGGTGGATCACGAGGTCAGGAGATTGAGACCAACCTGGCTAAAACGGCGAAACCCCATCTCTACTAAAAACAAAGAAACAAACAAAAAATTAGCCAGACATGGTGGTGGGCACCTATAGTCCCCGCTTCTCAGGAGACTGAGGCAGGAGAATGGTGCGAACCCACGAGACGGAGCTTGCAGTGAGCTGAGATCGCACCACTGCAATCCAGCCTGTGTGACAGAGCGAGACTCTGTCTCAGAAAAAAAAAAAAAACAAACAAAAATTAGCTGGGCATGGTGGTTGCACCTGTAATCCCAGCTACTCGGGAGGCTGAGGTGGGAGAAGTACTTGAACTCAGGCGGCAGAGGTTGCAGTGAGCTGAGATCGCGCCACTGCACTCCAGTCTGGGCCACAGAGCAAGACCTTGTTGCAAAAAAAAAAAAAAAAAAAAAAAAAAAGTGTCATCAGGCTTCTTGGCATTTCACAGGACATAAGTACAGAAAATGGTGGCATTAGCATGATCTGAAGGTGGAGTGTTGGGCTCTGAAGGTGGAGTTTTGGACCCTCTGATGTCAGGATGGACCTTTTCTCAGGCACGTGCACGGGTCCAGTTAAAGGGTCAGTGGTCTCAACCGGTTTGAATTGGACAGGAGTTGGCCCAAGGTCCTGAAAGACAATGGAAGCACCATGGCCATGGTGATCTATGAATGTTATCTATAATGTAGCCAGTGAAGGTTGAGTCTCAGCGGTCAGTGTACCGTGGCCTTCGGGTTCATGGAAAAAGGAAAAAACAATAATACGAAGCAAGCGGCCGAAAGCAAGCAGGGCAGGCCGCCCTGCACTGTGACCTGCTGTAGCCCCAAGTCCAGCACCAGTCACTTCATCACAGACCCACAGATGGGGGATCCACAAGGCACAGTGGCCCAGAGACCTCTCCAGGTCTCTTAGGTGGCTGGGCATGTTTCAGCTTCTCAGAGTGACTGATTGGTGACCTGCTCGCTCGCTGATGCTCCAGCTGCCTCCCCACACCTCCAGTTCCCAGCCCCTCCACAATCCTGTAAGGTCTAATTCCACAGCAAATCCCTTAGCCTGTTCTCACATGGTTCTGCTTCTTCCCTCACTGAATCCTGACACTTCCTTCAAGGTGAGCGTAAGCGGCGAGCGCTCTCTGGGCCCTGGGAATGCACCTGAACCAGGATGCCCCTCCCCAAGGGCCTTCCCTTCCTCAGCAGCTCCAGAGGGAGGCTTGCTTCCCTCAGCCCTTAGCAGAATGATTTGTTAAAAGGGTCACATCAGGCCCACACTAGCCCGAAAGGCCTCAGGGATGGGGCAGGGTCTTCGATCCTCATCTCTTAGGGCGGTGAGGAGGAAGCCACAATATACTGGGTACCCGCTTGGTGCTGGATACTTCATCATTTTATCCTGGCAAGAAGCTACCGCCCCAGCTTGCAGTGAAAAGCTGATAGGAGGGAGGTTGCTGGAGCTGGAGTTTGACCCCACACTTGAACCCACGCGTACCAAGTACCAAAGCCCACAGGTCCCTTGACCTGCCCACCTGCCTACAGCTGCGGCGGCAGGGATTTCTGCCCATGTCTGGCCTCTGCTGGGCCCTGAGGTCCTGGCTCCCGGGCCTTGCTGCTCTCTGCATCCCATGGCTCCCCCTAGGAGGAAGGAAGTCTTGGAAAGGATGCATTCACCTGTCCAGTCTCTATAATAATTATTATTTTATAAATATACATACATATATATTATTGCTATATATATTCTCTGAGCACCATTCTGAATCTTTGTGTTCCACACACATTTTCTCTACCAATACCTTTCACTCCATTTTTCTGCCCAGAAATCCTAAGTGTCCATCAAGTATCAGCTCCAATTGTATCTCTTGATGAAGCCTGTCCTGAGCACTCATAGAATTCATTCGTCCTTCCAGTGTACTCAAGACTTACCTCTGTAACAAGTGCATTTGGAATACACTGCTTATTGCTTCACCAAGTCTTATTAGGTGCTTCACTGATAGGCAATTAGGTGCGCACCTGTAATCCTAGCTACTCAGGAGGTTGAGGCAGGAGAATCGTTTGAACCTGGGAGGCAGAGGATGCAGTGAACCAAGATCGCACCACTGCACTCCAGCCGGGGCGACCAAGCCAGACTGTCAAAAACAAAAACAAAAAGAAAAACAAACAAACAAATAAACCCTGGGTGCGGTGGCTCATGCCTGTAATCTCAGCACTTTGGGAGGCCAAGGCGGGTTGATCACCTGAGGTTGGGAGTTCGAGACCAGCCTGACCAACATGGAGAAACCCCATCCCTACTAAAAATACAAAATTAGCCAGGCGTGGTGGTGCATGACTGTAATCCCAGCTAGTTGGGAGGCTGAGGCAGGAGAATCGCTTGAACCCAGGGGCGGAGGTTGCGGTGAGCTGAGTCACACCATTGCACTCCAGCCTGGGCAACAAGAGCCAAACTCCGTCTCAAACAACCAACCAACCGAACGAAAAACAAAACAAAAGAAAAAACACAGTGTAACAAGTTATTATAAAGTCACTGCTCAGGCACCAGCTTGCCCATCCTGTGCCTTTAGAGGGAAGCTCCTGCCCACTGTTCTTCAGTTTTATATCTTAAGTACAGGAGTCACCAAACTAGGCCTATGCACCACATCTGGCACCCAGCCTTTATTTATTTATTTTTTGAGATGGAGTCTCTCTCTGTCCCCCAGGTTGCAGTGGAGTGGCACGATCTCTGCTCACTGCAACCTCCGCTTCCTGGGTTCAAGCAATTCTCCTGACTCAGCCTCCCGAGTAGCTGGGATTACAGGTGCATGCCACCACGCCTAGCTAATTTTTGTATTTTTGGTAGAGATGGGCGTTGGCCCCTCAAAGTGCTGGGATTACAGGCATGAGCCATGATGCCTGACCCAGCCTTTTTGAAAATGAAGGTTTTGGCCAGCACGGTGGCTCACGTCTGTAATCCCAGCACTTTGGGAGGCCAAGGCAGGCGGATAACCTGAGGTCTGGAGTTCGAACCCAGCCTGGCCAACAAGATGAAACCCCGTCTCTACCAAAACTACAAAAATTAGCCAGGAGTGATGGCATGCACATGTAATGCCAGCTACTTGGGAGCCTGAGGCAGGAGAATCACTTGAACCCAGGAGGCAGAGGTCGCAGTGAGCCGAGATCACCCGATTGCACTCCATCCAGCCTTGGCAACAAGAGCGAAACTCCATCCCAACAAAATAAAAAATAAAAAATGATGTCCTTTTTTGCATCTCAACCCTTTTTTATTTTTTTTATTTTGAGACAGGGTCTCACTGTGTTGCCCAGGTTGGAGTGCAGGAGCCTGATCTTAGCTCACTGCAGCCTCGACCTCCCCAGCTCACATGATCCTCCCCCCTCAGCCTTCCAAATAGCTGGGACCACAGGTGGGCACCACCATGCCCACCTAATTTTTGTATTTTTTGTAGAAATGAGATTATGCCATGTTGCCCAGGCTGATCTTGACTTCAGGGCTCAAGTAATCTCTCTGCCTCCACCTCCCGAAGTGCTGGGATTGCAGGCGTGAGCCACCATGCCCAGCCCTGCTTTAAATTAAAGTGTATTTCACTTGATATTAGTACAGCCACTTCGGGGGTTTTTTGCTTACTATTTAAATGTTGTATCTTTGTATCCTTTTACTTTCAATCTGTTTATTTTAATTTAAAATGTTTATCTTGTAGATAGCACATTGATGGATCATATTTTCTTTTAATCCTTTTAGCCAGTCGGCTTTTCTTTTTTTGTGAGACAGAGTTTTGCTCGTCACCCAGGCTGGAGAGCAATGGTGCGATCTCAGCTCACTGCAACCTCTGCCTCCTGGGTTCAAGCGATTCTACAGCCTCAGCCTCCTGAGTAGTTGGGATTACAGGCGCCTGAAACTATGCCTGGCTAATTTTCGTATTTTTAATAGAGACGGGGGTTTCTTCACGTTGGTCAGGCTGGTTTTCAACTCCTGAACTCAGGTGATCCACCACCTCAGCCTCCCAAAGTGCTGAGATTACATGCGTAAGCCACCCCACCTGGCCAAAGTGAATTTTTTTTTCTCAGAAAATCTATTCCATTCTTTTTCCAGAAACCAAGTTTGTACAACTAAAATAAATATTGATACTCTAATTTTTTGTTCTGAGGTCTTACTGAGTTTTAATAGAATTTCATCTTTACATGTTTAGAAAAATTAGAAAATACAGATAAAACATAACTAAGTAAATAATAACATCTTTTCCTTCTGTTCAAAGTTCATTACTATTAGCCGAGTGCAGTGGCTCACACTTGTAATCCCAGCATTTTGGGAGACAGAGGCGACGGATCACTTGAGCCTAGGAGTTCGACACCAGCCTGGGCAACATGGCAAACCCCGGTCTCTACAAAAAATACAAAAATTAGCTAGGCATGGTTGCTTGTGCCTGCAGTCCTAGCTATTGGGAAGGCTGAGGTTGGGAACCACCTGAACCCGTAAGTCAAGGCTGCAGTGGTGCAGCCTCTGTCCCCTAGGCTGGAGTGCAGTGGTGCAATCTCGGCTCACTGCAATCTCCGCCTACCAGGTTCAAGCAATCCTCCTGCCTCAGCCTCCCAAGTAGCCGGGATTACAGGCACGCACCACCACACCAGGCTAATTTTTGTATTTTTAGTAGAAAAGGGGTCTCACCATGTTGGCCAGGCTGATCTTGAACTCTTGACCTCAAATGATCCACCTGCCTCGGCCTCCCAAAGTGCTGGGATTACAGGCGTGACCACCGTGCCGTTTTTCCTTCTTAGAGGCAGGATGTCACTCTGTCGCCCAGGCTGGAGTGCAGTGGCATGATCTCAGCTCACTGTAGCATTGACCTCCCAGGCCGAGGTGATTCTCCTGCCTCAGCCTCCCGAGCAGCTGGGATCACAGGTGTGCACCACCACACCTGGCTAATTGTTAATTTTTTTTTTGAGATGGGGTCTTGCTATGTTGCCCAGTCTGGCAACATGGGATCCTCCAACTCCTGGCTTTGAGGGATCCTCCCACTTCGGCCTCCCAAAGCCCTGAAAATTACAGACGTGAGCCACCATGCCCAGCCTATATTGTTGCATATTTCTTCAATTGTGTTTTGTGGTTGCTGGAGGTCTGTTCCTTCTTGGATTCCCTGCACAGTGTTCCACAGCTGCTCCACGTAATCTGCCCAAGACTTCTGCTGCATTCAGTTGAACACACAGGAGGAAACTTCACTCCCCAGCCGACCACACAAAGATCCGTTCTCATCCCCAGGGCAGCTGCTCTGGCCACTCGACCCGCGCCCTGGATGGCTCCAGTTGCTGTGAGCGCGACCACCCGCCGCGTGATTAAGAGCGCTCCGGGCCGGGCAGTCTCCCGTGGGAGTGGGGGCGTGGGTGAGTGCGACGGAAATCCCGCCTTCCGGCGCCCGCGCTTGACCCTGGCCTCAGAGGGTGAGCTCCAAGTAGGAAGATAAGCAGGATTGCGGGAAGCGGGAGAGCCCGGAGGACTGCGAAGCGCTCGTCTTCACCATTGGCTGCGCCCGCGGAGCAGCCTCGTTGCGATTGGCCGTACGCGGGGGGGCGCGGGAGTCTCGCCTCGGCCAGCCGCTAGGGCAGTTAGAGGCGCGGGGATCCGGGCTGAGCCGGCGGCTGCTGGGAGGCTGTGTCCGGACGCCGGCGGGGCCACGCGGCCCGGCTCTGCTTGTCCGGTCCTGGTCTGGGGCACCGGGGCGGCGGGAGGCGGAGGCGGTGCGGGCGCGGGGCTGGCGGGCGGCCGAGCCTGGGAGGCAGGGGTGGGCGCGGCGGCCGCACCGGGGCCTGCGCGGATAGTCCGCGGGGCAGTCTCGGGCCTCTCTCCATCTCTTAAGTGCTGGTGGCTGTGGGTTTTTCTGCAGGCGATCGTTTTGAGTAATTTGTTTCACGCACGCGCCGTGCTGTGGGGTAAATGCTGCTTTCATGTGTCCGTTGAAACGGGGGGTTTCCTGTCGTGTGTGTGTACCTTTTGCATTTGAGGGCAGATGACATTGTGACTTGGTCTCCTGTGACCGTCCATTCTCAAGGTCTCGCCAGCGTGGTGCGGAAACCCGGCCCACCCTGCTTACCTTGGAAGGAGGCTTTCCCTTCCCCACCTCCCTTTCCCCTCCATCTCTTCCCTGTTTCCCTCTCTCCCCTCACTCCCGTCCCCCAGCTCTTCTCTCCCCTCTTGCTGTTCTCTCTCGCTCTCTTTTTTCTGCATTAAACATTTCGGGAGTGTCTTTGTAAATTATTAAAAAGCGTTAGTTTTTAAACATGTGTGTTTACTTGCAGGCCTGAGAACCGGGAGGACGCTGGAGAAAAGCTGCCCTCTGAATGTTTGTTTGGCTGCCCAGGCTCGCCTTGACTCCAAATGGTTGAAAACAGATGCACAGGTGGGGTTTGCCATGTCTTTTTCTTGGCGTGTTTCTGCTTCCATGTTTAAATTTCTCGTGTAAGGCTGTTTTTTTTAGGGCATGTAAGGGGAAGTTAGTTGTATCTTCCTATGTTAGAGGAGCAGGTTTATTTCCTCCTATAACTTAAAATGTAGCAGTCTTGGCCGGGCGCGGGGGCTCACGCCTGTAATCCCAGCACTTTGGGAGGCCGAGGCGGGTGGATCACGAGGTGAGGAGATCGAGACCATTCTGGCTAACACGGTGAAACCCCGTCTCTACTAAAAATACAAAAAAATTAGCCGGGCGTGGTGGCAGGCGCCTGTAGTCCCAGCTACTCGCGAGGCGGAGGCAGGAGAATGGCGTGAACACGGGAGGCAGCGGAGCTTGCAGTGAGCCGAGATCTCACCACTGCGCTCCAGCCTGGGCGACAGAGCGAGACTCCGTCTAAAAAAAAAAAAAAGGTAGCAGTCTTTATGGCTGTTTTTGTAGATTGTGCACGGCTGCCTTTTAATTAGTTTCTTGCAAGTGCACTACCCTTGAGATCTATTAATAGGCAAAATTTTTTTCCTATTTATTATTACTGGCTAAGAAATCTGCCACACTCCTCACCATATCATGATGACTGTTATTTGTTACTGATAGTATTTGAGCTGTTTAGTTAACTGTGGAGGGGAAAATTGGAGAAGTCAGTTGCAGTAATTATGGCCGAGAGAAACTCACTCATTTTATGAGGTCTTGTGTTTGTGTTTCTGGAGAGACAAGAGGGAGTTCAGTTGAGCTGTTTGTTTTGTATTTGTAACCAATACAAGGACTAAGGACAGTTGTGTTGAAACCGAGGTCATGATGTTAGGATCTTGAGGGCTGAAGGTTCCAAATCAATGGTGTGTATATAGAATTCTATCTGACTTGAAATTTCCCCTTTCTGGACCTCCGGATGCTGAGGCTGACAGTGTCCATGTGACAGTGCCTTCCCTGACAGGAATCAGAAACCTTTTTTTTTTTCTTTTTTTTTTTTTGCAGGTGTCAGTAATTCATTATATTTTTAAAACTTTTCACCTCTTCCTCCTAGTTTTCAAATACTGATTTGTAAATAAATTAAAACATTTCCCGAAGTGTTTTCTGTGAAAGCATAGTTGCAAAAGATACTGAAAGAAAAGTACATGGAAAAATCCGAAGTATATGTTTTATTCATTACATTTGATGAATTTTTTTGTTGTAGTTTTTTCCTCTCGAGAGGGCGTCTTGCTCTGTCGCTCAGGCTGAAGTGCAGTGGCTTGATCCTGGCTCACTGCATCCTCTGCCTCTTGGGTTCAAGCAGTTCTCTGCCTCAGCCTCCTGAGTAGCTGGGATTCCAGGTGTCCTCCACCTCGCCCAGCTAATTTTTTTTCTTTTTTTTGAGGTGGAGTCTCGCTCTGTCGCCCAGGCTGGAGTGCAGTGTCACCATCTCAGCTCACTGCAAGCTCCGCCTCCCGGGTTCACGCCATTCTCCTGCCTCAGCCCCCCAAGTAGCTGGGACTACAGGCGCCTGCCACCACACACGGCTAATTTTTTGTATTTTTAGTGGAGACAGGGTTTCACTGTGTTAGCCAAGATGGTCTCGACCTCCTGACCTTGTGATCCACCTGTCTTGGCCTCCCAAAGTGCTGGGATGACAGGTGTGAGCCACCGCGTCTGGCCCTAATTTTTGTATTTTTAGTAGAGACCGACTTTCACCATATTGGCCAGGCTGGTCTTGAACTCCCGACCTCATGATCCGCCCACCTCGGCCTCCCAAAGTGCTGGGATTACAGACGTGAGCTTCCACGCCCGGCCCATGTTTGATGATTTTTTTTTTTGTCCTTTGTTCTTGTAAAAATCATGGTTAGAAAGCAGAGTATAATTATTCTTTACATGGATCCCAAATGATTAGGGTTTGTAGGGAGGTTTCTTTTGGCATTCAGTAAATGTTTTTATTTTTAGTGTGGAATGTTGTGTGTTTTTTATTATTAGAAATTATTTATAGATTTATACATATCAAATTCCATTCTTTTTTGTTTGAGACAGAATCTCACTGTCTTGCCCAGGCTGGAATGCAGTGGTGCCGTCTCAGCTCACTGCAACCTCTGCCTCCCGAGTACAAATGATTCTCCTGCCTCAGCCTCCCAAGTAGCTGGGACTATAGGCGCCTGCCACCATGCCCGGCTAATTTTTGTATTTTTAGTAGAGATGGGGTTTCACTATGTTGGCCAGGCTGGTCTTGAACTCCTGACCTGGTGATCCACCCACCTTGGCCTCCCAAAGTGCTGGGATGACAGGTGTGAACCACCGTGCCTGGCCTCAAATTCCATTTTTCAGACTATGAGTATTTTATTTTATTTTCTGAGACAGGGTCTTGCTCTGTTGCCCAGGCTGGAGTGCAGTGGTGCTGTCTTGGCTCACTGCAACCTCTGCCTCCCGAGTTCAAGGGATTCTGCCTCAACCTCCCAAGTAGCTGGGATTACAGGTGTCCGCCACCACACCTGGCTAATTTTTTTTTTTTTTTTTTTTTTGAGATGGAGTCTCGCTCCGTCGCCCAGGCTGAAGTGCAGTGGTGTGATCTCGGCTCAGTGCAACTTCTGCCTCCCGGGTTCAAGCAATTCTCCTGCCTCAGCCTCCTGAGTAGCTGGCATGACAGGTACCCGCCACCACTAACCTCCACCTCCCTGGTTCAAGCTATTCGCTGCCTCAGCCTCCTGAGTAGCTGAGATTACAGGCACACGCCAGCAATCCCGGCTAATTTTTGACTTTGTTGTAGAGACAGGGTTTCACCATGTTGGTCAGGCTGGTCTTGAACTCCTGACCTCATGATCCACTCACGTCGGCCTCGGAAAGTGCTGGGATTACAGGCGTGAGCCACATTTTTAGTAGAGATGCGGTATCACCATGTTGGCCAGGCTGGTCTCGAACTCCTGACCTCAAGTGATCCTCTCACCTCGGCCTCCCAGAGTGCTAGGATTACAGATGTGAGGTACTGCGCCAAGTCTAATTTTGTATTTTTAGTAGAGATGGGGTTTTGCCGTGTTGGCCAGGCTAGTCTAGAACTCCTAGGTTCAAGTGATCCTCCTGCATTGGCCTCTCAAAGTGCTGGGATTACAGGCGTGAGCCACCACACCTGGCCAGTGGGAGGTCTTCCTTCCCTTCTCTCCAGCATTCTATAAGCAATGTTTTTGGGCAGTGTGTGTTCAATTTTCTCTATATATACTTTGAACCCTACAGTAGTGAAAGGAAGAGTAGACAAATATTGAAGCTGATATAGTGTGGTCTTTGAGCTGGTGGTGCTAATTATTGTTTTCATGGCCTTCAATGACTTCATCCTGCTTTTGCTGTTGTAAAGTGTTCTAATTTATGCTCCTGAGAATAACACTTGAGGTGTACTTAGGGTTCTTGTCTGCTTCCTGGTGACTGTCGAAGCTTTTCATCTTGAAGAAGGGAGATGACCAGTGTTCCAGTGTACTGAGTTTAAAGAATTTTGCATTTTTTTATTTGTAAAGTTTATAGCCAGATGTAGGGTAGGGGTGGCATGCTTTCTCTAAAGGGCCAAATAGTAAATATTTTAAGCCCTCAATGGACCATATGGTCTCTGTCATAGCCATGGGCACTTGCAGCTGTAGTGCCAAAGCAGCCACAGATAATACTATGTCTGTGGGCAGGGGAAGTTCATTCTGTAAACTTTATTTATGGACACCAAAAGATGAAGTTCACAGAATGTTTGCAAGTCACAAAATATTGTTTTTCTTTTGATTATTTTTGAATCGTTAAAACATAAAATACAGTGGCCGGGCGTGGTAGCTCACACCTATAATCCCAGCACTTTTGGAGGCCGAGGCAGGAAGATCACCTGAGGTCAGAAGTTCGAGACCAGCCTGGCCAACATCATTTGGATGTACCACGTTGTGTTTATCCATTCTGCTATTGTAGGACCTTGTGGTTGTCGCCATTTTTCTTTCGCGATTGTATTCCTGCTATGAGCGTTTCTGTACAGTTGTCGTGTGAATGTAGTTTCCATTTCCCTAGGATAAAAACCTAGTAGTGGGAAAGTTGGGTCATGTGCTGAACTGTTTTCCAAAGTGGCTGATTTAGTTTGCATTCCCACTGGCAATCTGTCATGTTTCTGTTGCTCTGTGTCTTAGTTAGCTCTTGGTGTTATCGGTGATTTTTAGTTGAGCCATTCTAACAAGTCTAGTGGGATCTCATTGTGGTTTAAATTTGCATTTCCGTAATGGCTAACGATGCTGAGTATCATGTTCTTCTTTGCTACTCTTGTATCCTCTGTGAAGTTTCTGTTCAGATCTTTTGCACGAAAAAGCTGTATCATGGAACCAGTAAAATAACCAAGGAGAGGTTGATTAAAGTTCTGTTTATAACCCCAGAAGATTCCTGCCCTAGGGATATGGGATGGCTGAACATAGGACGCCGACACTGGACAGATGAAATAGCAGTTTATTAGTCACGCGTGCTCACAGCCCTGGAGGTGGGGGACGCCGCATGCCACACGGGGGCTGCACTTGGGAACAGAGTGAGCAACCAGGGGCTGTGGGAGGCACATTTTATAGTAAGAAGAGGGTGAGATGACCTTGCTTCCATAGACAGATGTGATTGGCTTGTTTGAATAACTCTGGGCCGGCAGGGATGAGCAGGTTGGGGTCGGCTGTCTGTGATAAGGAGGGTTGTTTGGTTTGGGACCTTATCCGTGGGAGCAGAGCTCGGAGGAGACCTTGTGGTTAGGCTATTTGAGGCCTTCTTGATTTTACCGACATCAAGGCAGCACATAATATTTAGTCTTAATTTCAGGCCACACAATACCTTCTTCTATATCTACTTTCTGTGGCACTTTTCAAAAGGTTTTTGTCCTTAGTGTTTAGCAGCTGATTACGATGTGCATAGTCATGGCTTCCTTTGGATTTATGATGTGTGGGCTTTGCACAGATTCTTCCATCTGCCTCGGTTTATGTCGTTTGCTGAACTTAGGAAGTTTCCAGCCATTAGTTCTTTGGATATTTTTTTCAGCATTGTACCTTTTCTCTCCTGTTATTAACCAGTGGGGTCTGTGCTAATTCTAGGTAGTTAGTTTCAGAATTGAATTGCACTGTGGGACACATAGCTGGGTGTCCCAGAGAACTGGAGAATTGCCTGGTGCAAAAGTCCACCCATTTGGTGTCAGAAGTGTTGCAAACAGAGGAACTGTTTCCTTAGAGATTTTTAGATACTCATTATTTGTAATCTGGATAGGATATCATGTCTTCCACCGATTTGGATACATTTTTGTAATTATGTTGTTTAGACGGTTAGTAACAGCCTTGTGTGATGGAACGTGTTTACATGTCAAGATTAAGGTTACTTCTCTCTCCTCTTGGCTGACTATGTAAGGAGTTTCATGACAGTTGTTTTGATGGAAACTTCACATTGTCAGTGGCCTAAAGTCATTGTTCTCAGCTTTTCCTTTGTGTCCCAGTGCTCTTGAGTTATGCTCTCACTGATAGCGCCCCTGCATAGCAGTGCTTCTCAGTTGGCAGTGGAGTAGGGCCTCGTAAGGAGTTAAAAGATTTTTGATTTATACTCCTGTTCTACACCCTCCCTTTCCCCATGGATACACAAGCATTGGGCCACACTGAATAAAGCAATTGATGTGAAATTGAAGTAGGTGAATATCAAAGACTAATTTTCTCAGTTGTGAAATCTACTAGGAAGTTAATGAAATATCATTTTGGAAGACATGCTTTAAGTAATTTGATATATTGGTTTCTTTTTTTTTTTTGAGACAGAGTCTCGCTCTGTCACCCAGGCTGGAGTGCGGTGGCACAATCTCAGCTCATTGCAAGCTCCGCCTCCCGGGTTCACACCAGTGTCCTGCCTCAGCCTCCTGAGTGCCTGGGACTGCAGGCTCCCTCCACCACGCCCGGCTAATTTTTTGTATTTTTAGTAGAGACGGGGTTTCACCGTGTTAGCCAGGATGGTCTTGATCTCCTGACCTCATGATCCACCTGCCTCAGCTGCCCAAAGTGCTGGGATTACAGGCACGAGCCACCGCTCCTGGCCGATATATTGGTTTCTTTATGAAAATTGTACTGGATCTGTAACAGATATGATTGATGTATTTTATTTTTAAGTTGTCAAACATTCAGTTAATGATGTGTGTTGTAACTTTTCGGGGAGGGACATTTGCAGAGACTGACTAATGGTATGACATTCTGAAAAGCGGTTACAGATTAAAAATTTTTTATTTTTGCAGATGATAGGGTGGAACAAAGTGGAACAAAGAAAGAAGATCTGGATGACAAAGAGAAAAGTGATGAAGAAGAAACTCCTGCACCTGTATACAGCGCAAGTCAATTCTGCACAGCTGGTTATGGGGCAAGCAACCAGATAATCTTGTGCGTTTTGACGCTTAGGAAAGCTTAATCTGACGCTCCTTATCTAAATAACTTGGATGGATTATTAGTATTTTTGGTAACAATTTTTTGTTTTGTTTTTTTTGAGGCAGAGTCTAACTCTGTCGCCCAGGCTGGAGTGCAGTGAGACAATCTCAGCTCACTGCAAGCTCCGCCTGCCGGGTTCATACCATTCTCCTCCCTCAGCCTCCGGAGTAGCTGGGACTACAGGCGCCCGCCACCACGCCCTGCCAATGTTTTTGTATTTTTACGAGGTTTCACCGTGCCAGCCAGGATGGTCTCGATCTCCTGACCTTGCAATCCGCCCACCTCAACCACCCAAAGTGCCAGGACCACAGACATGAGCCACAGTGCCCGGCCCACTGTCCACTTTCAAATGGTATTACACTGCCTGAGCCGCGGGGCAGTGCTCTGACCACAGCTTCCTGCTTCTGACCTGTTCTTGGTTGGTTGTGTTGCTGTATCATATGTCCAAGTGAAACATGGTATAAACCCCACAATATGCTGTTTTTGTTTTTGCTTTAAATAGGCAATTACATTTTTTCTCCTCAAATTCGAAAAGAGAAAAAAAAGTCTGGTTTTTTTGAGACAGAGTTTTGCTCTTGTTGCCCAGGCTAGAGTGCAATGGCACGATCTCAGCTCACTGTAACCTCCGCCTCCTGGGTTCAAGCGATTCTCCTGCCTCAGCCTCCCTCACAGCTGGGATTACGGGCATGCACCACCACGCCCAGCTAATGCTTTTGTATTTTTAGTAGAGACCATTTCACCACATTGGTCAGGCTGGCCTTGAACTCCTGACCTTAGGTGATCCAGCTGCCTCCACCTCCCAAAGTGCTGGGATTATAGGCGTGAGCCACTGCGCCCGGCCTCTTTTTTTTTGGAGATGGAGTTTTGCTCTTGTTGCTCAGGCTCCAGGCTGGAGTGCAATGGCATGATCTTGGCTCACTGCAACTTCCGACTCCTGGGTTCAAGCGATTCTCCTGGCTCAGCTGGGATTACAGGCATGTGCCACCAAGCCTGTCCAATTTTGTATTTTTTGCTTAGAGACAGGGTTTCATCACATTGGTCAGGCTGGTCTCGAACTCCTGACCTCAGATGGTCCACCCCCCTCGGCCTCCCAAAGAGCCACCGCGACTGGCCAAAAGTATTTTCTGTTCACCTACATGTTTACCATTTTGGGCCCATAAGGTTTTGTTTCTATCCCAGCTGCCTTCTGGTATCATTTTCCTTCAGTTTGGAGATGCCCCTTTACCATTTCTAGATCTGCTGGCCGAGAAGTTTTCAGTCTGTCACGGTATCAATTTTGGCTTTACCTCTGAGTAAAGGTGTTCCCCTGTCGGAAGCTGGTAACGTGAAAAGCCCCAAGTGTCAAGACTGTCATGGAAAGGTCCCTGTCCATGTTTTTGTTCCAGTTGGTGATCAAACACATTCCAAATCCAGTGAGGAATTGTCACTGCCACTGCCTCCTCCACCACCACAACCACCACCACCCCCCCCATCACCCCCACCACTGCCACCCCCTCCTCTCCCTGCTCTGTCCTCATCCTCTCAAGCTGCAGCTCATCAGAATTTAGGCTTCTGGGCTCCAGTGAAAGATGACCAGCCACTTCCTCTAGTGTGCCAAGCACCTGCTGGGAGACCACGTGACTCCTTGGAAAGTTTTCCATGTCCAGGATCTACGGACGAAGTGTTGGCCTCCTTAAGGCATGGCAGAGCTCGTCTCTGGAAGGTGGAAGTGCTGGCGGTGTGCCCTCCCCACGCCTCAGTCCATGAGCACATTCTGGCTGCCATAAGGCAAGGGGTCAAACTGAAGAAAGTTTACCCTGATATTGGCCCAAACCCCAGCAGCAAACCAACCACCAGCAGACACACCAGTGACCTTGAGAGGAGCATCAAGGCCGCGCTCCAGAGAATCAAGAGGTGTCTGCTGACTCTGAGGAGGACAGCGATGAGCAGGACCCTGGCCAGTGGGACCGTTAGGCTCAAGTTTGACAAAGGCACCCGCCACGGTAGGCTTGAATAAAGTGGGTGAGGCTAAGACCTATTGAAAAGCGCACTAACAGGGTGCTGGTGGACAGGACACATAACACCCCGGAAGACCAGCGGGGCCTTGTGTGGGATGCTGCAGCTTTTTTTTTTTTTTTTTGAGATGGAGTCTCGCTCTGTTGCCCAGGCTGGAGTGTAGGGTTTCACTGTGTTAGTCAGGGTGGTCTCGATCTCCTGACCTCATGATCCACTCACATTGGCCTCCCAAAGTGTTGGGATTACAGGCATGAGCTGCTGTGCCTGGCCTTTCTGTTTTTTTTTTCTTTTGAGACTGAGTCGCACTCTGTCCCCCAGGCTGGAGTGCAGTGGCACGATCTGCCTCCCGGGTTCAAGCAATTCTCTGCCTCAGCCTCCTGAGTAACTGGGATTACAGGCACGCGACACCACGCCCAGCTAATTTTTGTATATTTAGTAGAGACAGGGTTTCATTTTCTTGGCCAGGCTGGTCTTGAACTCCTGACCTCGTGATCTACCTGCTTTGGCCTCCCAGGGTGTTGGGATTGCAGGCATGAGCCACTGCACCTGGCCAATGCTGCAGCTTTTATGTGACACAGTGACTCTTAAAACTGGGGAGGGAAGTAGGGATGAGAGTTTCATACATCAGCCCATAGGTGGGGTGTCAAGACCCATCGAAGTGTCACTGGCCTAAGAGAAGAGCACTTATTTCTCACCATGGGTGATCTAGAATTGTTCCCTGATTCTGAAAGAAGTTTACTGTACTCTGGCAAGCAGCACTGTTAGACTACTGACTGTGGCCTCCTGTGCATATGGAATAGTGATTTCTCAGATTTACAGGTTTGAATGTGAATGTTATTTTATCAATAATCAGAATAAATTGCTTATATTCAGGAAAAATACCAATTGTGCACATACTTTTGTAAAATTATACATAAACACTTTATTTTTTATGTCATTCTAAATAATTTTTTGGATGTTTCTATTTCCAAACTTTTGATAATATATAGAAATATGATTGATTTTGTTTATTGGGTTTGAGTACAACCACCTTACTAAACTCACATATTGAGTATTTTAATAGGTTATTTTGAATGCTTTTACATAGACTGTTATGTTGTCTGAAAATAAAAACAGGTTTATTTCTTCCTTGCTGATGTGGATGTCACTGATTTTTTTTCCTGCATTACTGATCTGGCTAGGACTATCAGTATAAAGTTGAATGTAAGTGGTAAAAGAGCTGATTTCTTGCCAGGGACCCAGCTTTTAAATCAGTTGGAGAGTCGCCATTAAGTGTAATTTAGTGATAGTTTTGTTTTTGTTGTTGTTGTTTGTTTTGTAGATGCCCTCTATCAGCTTAAGTTCCCTTCTTTTCTCATTTTGCTGAGAGTTTTTATAAAGAATAGATGTTGAATTTTGTTAAATGCTTTTGCTGCATCTGCTGAAATGACGTTTATTCTTCATCTACCTAATAATGTTGCAGTTTATATCTGTTGAGCTTTGAATGTTGAACCAGCCTTGCATTCATGGTATAACTCACTTGTTTGTAAAGTATTTTTTAAAAAATATTGCTAGATTTGGTTTCTTAGTATTGTATTTTTATATTTGTCTTCATGTGTTTTTTTTTTCCCTCACAAGTACCTGTACCCCCCCTTTTTTTTTCTTTAAAGAGAAATGATAATGAGAGAGATTGTCTCTCTTGAAGTTCTCAGTGCCTGTGCATTGTGCACAGCTAGCATCATGACAGAAACTTCAGAACCAGAGCTGGCTTCTAGGCAAGGCTGAATGGGGTAAAAAAAAGAAAAACAATAGGATTATTTCTCTACATATGCTCCATCTTACAGAGGCCACATTCCTGGTTCTCTAGCTAAAAAGAGTAGAAATTTTGCACACCTGGGTTAGAAAAAAAAAAAAGAATAGCCATTAAACCCACCTGTTACAGGTCACTATTGGTATTTTGATTTTGCTTTCAATCCATCTGTTATTGTTTACTTTTAAGAGTCCTTGATAGTTGCTTTTTATGTCCAGAGTTTTAATTTCAATCAGAAGGAGAAATAGGCCTTGGTGAGCACGCTTGGTCTTGGCTGGTGCCAGAAGTCTATACTCAAATATTTTAAAATAATTTTTAGTTGAATAACAAGTTAGACCTGTGCTCAGCTTTCTCATTGTTTTCCTAAAAATAGAAAAGGTTTTAAATACTTTAACCACTAAATTATTTAAAGCAGGTTTAAAATAAACTCCCTCATTTTGCCGATTGTATTACTCTGTTCTCACACTGCTAATAAAGACATACCCAAGACTGTTTAGACTTGATAATTTATAAAGTAAAGAGGTTTAATTGACTCACAGTTCCACATGGCTGGGGAGTCCTCACAATCATAGCATAAGGTGAATGAGGAGCAAAGTCACATGTTACGTGGTGGCAGGCAAGAGAGAGCATGTGTGCAGGGGAATTCCCCTTTACAAAACCATCAGATCTCATGAGACTTATTCACTCTCATGGGAACAGCATGATTCAGTTACCTCCATGATTCAGTTACCTCCCACTGTGTCCCTGCCACAACATGTGGGAATTATGGGAGCTAAAAATCAAGATGAGATTTGGGTGGGAACACAGTCAAACCATGTCTCCTATATACATTCACACTAGCATTTTAATTTTAGGACTAGTTCTATGTTACTATCTGAATTAATTTTTCCACAATTTTGTAAGGAAAAATAATGCTTTCTTTGAATTTCATGTGTAGATGATTTTTTTAGTTTTGTATCATTTTGTCCAATAAATTCTGAAAATCTTTGTATTGACAGTGTGTTATCTGTGCACAACCATCTATGTATAAGAGCACTCGATAAAAAGAATAACGAGGAAAAAGCACTGGATCTGTATTTATACAAAACAAGCTACCAGCAGAGCCCACTGGGAGTGGTTGTGACATAATCAGGAATGTTATATTCACAGGTTGTAGATCTGCATATGAGAAGAGGGTTTGCAGATAGCAGATTCTAGAAAGTTGCCTAATCAGACAGTAAATGCAGGTGTTTAAGCACTGAACAAAAGTAAGCTGCTTTAATTACTCGTAAGAGGGAAGTACAAGTCATT